AAAAAAAACTTTTTCTTTCTCTTTATTTATTCCTTCCCTTTTCTAGCATGTCCTTTTTTGAACAATGCCTAAAACTTGGTATTTCAAGCACTTCCTGTGTCTGTTTGCCTCTTTAAGAAGAATCGCTTTATGTATTCCCCAATTGTAAGTCGCTTTGGATAAAAGCGTCTGCAAAATGACTAAATGTAAATGTAAATGTAAATGGACTTTGCTTTTTCATTTGAAATGTGGCAGTCTGTGCGTTCGCGAAAGTGAAAATGCAAACGGTGATGCAAGATTTGCAATTGCATTTGGATTATGTCACAATTTATGCGTCCACATATGGAAAACGCAATTGAAAATACAATTTGCAATTCCTTTTGAAAATTGCCCTGAATATTCTTCCATACCTCTGAGCCTCATTCAATGTCTGAAAATCTACCTACAAGCCACTTTTGTGTTCTACTGTGCCATCTCTGTAGTACAAAATGTTTTTATTAATACAAATTTCATATGATGGTAACTTACCTTATTCTACGTCTTATTATATTGTTTTAATTTGAATTTTTTTTAAAAGCTTATAAATATAAATGTTTGAATTTGACAAATTTGAATTTGAATTAGAAAAATGCCATTACAAAGGTAAAAAGAAAATGCCCCTGTAAATCACTTTAAGGAGTCAAATATCACCTCATATTAGGAAGGCTAATTTTTTTTATCAGAATTTTTGATTATTGATCAGAAGGTGCTCCCACATTTTTTTTTAATTAGGAGGACAAGTACCTACAAGCCACTTTTGTGTTCTTCTGTGCCATCTCTGTAGTACAAAATGTTTTTATTAATACTAATTTCATATGATGGTAACTTACCTTATTCTACGTCTTATTATATTGTTTTAATTTGAATTTTTTTTAAAAGCTTATAAATATAAATGTTTGAATTTGACAAATTTGAATTTGAATTAGAAAAATGCCATTACAAAGGTAAAAAGAAAATGCCCCTGTAAATCACTTTAAGGAGTCAAATATCACCTCATATTAGGAAGGCTAATTTTTTTTATCAGAATTTTTGATTATTGATCAGAAGGTGCTCCCACATTTTTTTTTAATTAGGAGGACAAGTGCTCCTAAAAAGAAAAGTAAGCGTAGAGCCCTGTGTAACAGTACATTAGATCCGTGCATGAGGTCTTAAAGAGGCAGCAGCCTAAATAAACCTGCTGCAGTGCTACAGTGAAGACTATCCAGTGTTATTTTACAGTTGAATAGATTATTCAGTTTCTGTAGTAATTCAGTAACTATATATTATAGTTAGACCTAACTGAAAAAAAGTACTGTTAATTTAATTTGTATCTTCTTGTTTTTGTTTGTGCTATTGACTGTCATTAATTTATTTGTTCTTATTTTATTATTTACTATTTACTTGTCTTTTTTAGTAAAAATAAATTAAATTCTGAGTGCATGTGATTCTTGGGTGGGGAGGGGGCGTGGTCTATGGGAAGTAGTCCTGCCACCACAGATGGAAAAAATCCTAGAGGAAACACTGCTGTAATTGTCACTGTGGGTCTCCAATGGTTATGTGTTGCCTTCTATTGGCATGTTAAAACCACTAAATCTGAATATAATATACACATGGTTATGGTTTTGGCTTTGGCAAGCCAACATCAAAGTTTGTCCTGTCCTAATTGTAGTTTCAATAAAGATTAAAAGATTAAAGAATAAAGTTTTTAGTAGTAATGGTAGATTTTGATGATCATTTTGATGACTCTGTTTAACCCTTTAATGATGTTTTAGTGTAATTATGAGGAATGAACGGAGATGTCCATTGCATGTATTCTTTTTAGGTGCAAGTGCATAGTAAAGTGAACTTCACAGAGTATTTCACCAAGGTAAAGTGAGATTCCAATCTGAAGGAATAGTACGTTAAATTTAAAAGGCACTGAAAACTTCACCAGGAACAAGAAACTGTACCATTAATTATATAAATGAACTTTGAGAGGGTGTTTGCAATAATATGAGGGAGCAAAGGTCACTCAAATATATCTTCATGTGTGCACTTTAGTCTAACCACTCCTAGCTTTAGGTTGGTTTATTACCATCTTTTTGAGTTCCTGCTCAATCTTGAAGTGAACTTCAACAGGCTTATGTTATGCTTTTATTTGTGTTTTACTGCTTCTATTTCTATGGTCTAGACAGTTGTTGAGCTGCTGTATGTATCTGTATTCAGTAAAATGGCAGAACCCAGCATTTCAGGGGCTCAGCATGAGTTTAACTGTTCAGTCTGTCTGAATCTACTGAAAGACGCAGTGGCCCTGACCTGTGGACACAGTTACTGTATGAGCTGCATTATAGACTACTGGGATCAGGATGATCAGAAGAGAGTCTACAGCTGCCCTCAGTGCAGACAGACCTTCACTCCAAGACCTGGTTTAGGTAAAAACACCATGCTGGCTGAAGTGCTGGCGAAACTCAAGAAGACAAAACTACAAGCTGCTCTTCCTGCTCAGTGTTACTCTGGATCTGGAGATATGGAGTGTGATGTCTGTACTGGGGACAAAAATAAAGCCATCAAGTCCTGTCTGGTGTGTCTGGAATCTTATTGTCAAACCCATTTTGAACGTCATGAAGAATTTCACTCTGGAAAGCGACACAAAATGACTGATGCCACTACACGACTACAGGAGATGATCTGCCCTCAACATGACAAACTGCTGGAGATTTTCTGTCGTACTGACCAGAGCTGTGTATGTTATATGTGTATGGTGGATGAACACAAAAACCACAACACTGTATCAGCTGCTGCAGAGAGGACTGAGAAACAGGTATGAACTCAGTTATGCTGAATAATAAAAGCGTAGAGCCCTGTGTAACAGTACATTAGATCCGTGCATGAGGTCTTAAAGAGGCAGCAGCCTAAATAAACCTGCTGCAGTGCTACAGTGAAGACTATCCAGTGTTATTTTACAGTTGAATAGATTATTCAGTTTCTGTAGTAATTCAGTAACTATATATTATAGTTAGACCTAACTGAAAAAAAGTACTGTTAATTTAATTTGTATCTTCTTGTTTTTGTTTGTGCTATTGACTGTCATTAATTTATTTGTTCTTATTTTATTATTTACTATTTACTTGTCTTTTTTAGTAAAAATAAATTAAATTCTGAGTGCATGTGATTCTTGGGTGGGGAGGGGGCGTGGTCTATGGGAAGTAGTCCTGCCACCACAGATGGAAAAAATCCTAGAGGAAACACTGCTGTAATTGTCACTGTGGGTCTCCAATGGTTATGTGTTGCCTTCTATTGGCATGTTAAAACCACTAAATCTGAATATAATATACACATGGTTATGGTTTTGGCTTTGGCAAGCCAACATCAAAGTTTGTTCTGTCCTAATTGTAGTTTCAATAAAGATTAAAAGATTAAAGAATAAAGTTTTTAGTAGTAATGGTAGATTTTGATGATCATTTTGATGACTCTGTTTAACCCTTTAATGATGTTTTAGTGTAATTATGAGGAATGAACGGAGATGTCCATTGCATGTATTCTTTTTAGGTGCAAGTGCATAGTAAAGTGAACTTCACAGAGTATTTCACCAAGGTAAAGTGAGATTCCAATCTGAAGGAATAGTACGTTAAATTTAAAAGGCACTGAAAACTTCACCAGGAACAAGAAACTGTACCATTAATTATATAAATGAACTTTGAGAGGGTGTTTGCAATAATATGAGGGAGCAAAGGTCACTCAAATATATCTTCATGTGTGCACTTTAGTCTAACCACTCCTAGCTTTAGGTTGGTTTATTACCATCTTTTTGAGTTCCTGCTCAATCTTGAAGTGAACTTCAACAGGCTTATGTTATGCTTTTATTTGTGTTTTACTGCTTCTATTTCTATGGTCTAGACAGTTGTTGAGCTGCTGTATGTATCTGTATTCAGTAAAATGGCAGAACCCAGCATTTCAGGGGCTCAGCATGAGTTTAACTGTTCAGTCTGTCTGAATCTACTGAAAGACGCAGTGGCCCTGACCTGTGGACACAGTTACTGTATGAGCTGCATTATAGACTACTGGGATCAGGATGATCAGAAGAGAGTCTACAGCTGCCCTCAGTGCAGACAGACCTTCACTCCAAGACCTGGTTTAGGTAAAAACACCATGCTGGCTGAAGTGCTGGCGAAACTCAAGAAGACAAAACTACAAGCTGCTCTTCCTGCTCAGTGTTACTCTGGATCTGGAGATATGGAGTGTGATGTCTGTACTGGGGACAAAAATAAAGCCATCAAGTCCTGTCTGGTGTGTCTGGAATCTTATTGTCAAACCCATTTTGAACGTCATGAAGAATTTCACTCTGGAAAGCGACACAAAATGACTGATGCCACTACACGACTACAGGAGATGATCTGCCCTCAACACGATAAACTGCTGGAGATTTTCTGTTGTACTGACCAGAGCTGTGTATGTTATATGTGTATGGTGGATGAACACAAAAACCACAACACTGTATCAGCTGCTGCAGAGAGGACTGAGAAACAGGTATGAACTCAGTTATGCTGAATAATAAATGTCTCTTCATAATAGTTTTTAATAGGGACAGATAATAGTTTCTCCACTTATTTGCTCTTTTTTGAAACTGTTCTTTGTGACATTCTCTACAAGGATTAATGAATTGTATGTTGACTATACTATATAGAGACATCTGGAGGAGACCCAGAGAACAAACCAGCAGAGAATCCAGGAGAGACAGAAGGAGCTTGAGGAGCTGAGAGAGGCTGTAGAGTCTCACAAGGTGAGTTTTGAGCAGAAGAACAACTGCTGGCTGCTGAAGAGCTGTTTCAGACTCAGTTATGACTCTCCTCCAGTCAGTCAGTGAGGAGCCAGTGCTGGAGCTCTTTCAGTCCCACTGAAGCCCACTGTGGGGAACAGGCTGTGTGAGGTAGCAGTAAGAGCTGAGTGAATGGACTGATTCTGATGCTTCTCTCTCTGTGTGTCCTAACAGCGCTCTGCACAGACAGCAGTGGAGGACAGTGAGAGGATCTTTACTGATCTGATCCGCTCCATTGAGAGAAGCCGCTCTGAGGTGACACAGCTGATCAGAGATCAGGAAAATGCTGCAGTGAGTCGAGCTGAAGGACAACTGGAGCAACTGGAGCAGGAGATTGAAGATCTGAGGAGGAGAGACGCTGAGCTGGAGCAGCTTTCACACACAGACCATCACATCCATTTCCTCCAGGTAACAGAGATCTGATAAACAGGACAGTGATCTTTAGGAAGGGAAGAGCATGTTGTACAGACATTGTGTTTCTATCAAATGTTTCTGTGTCTTTAGCTGGTGTTTTTATTGTGTCTGTGTAGAGTTTCCAGTCTCTCTCTGTCCCTCCTGGATCTACAGACTCACCAAACATCACTGTCAGTTCTTGTCTCTCTTTTGATGATGTTGAAAAATCTGTATTTAATCTGAGAGAGAAACTAAAGTATTTCTGCCGAGAGGAGATAGAAATGTTATCTGGTAGAGGTGAGCTTTACATTTCCTGAGATATACCATATGATATTATGTAGACAGAATGCATATGTAAAAAAAAAAAAAAAGTTTTATAATTACAATTAATTGTTATTTTACTATATTTATTATAAAGTGTCTGTTGGTTTCCATAGTGAGAAACATCAACATCATTCCCACCTCTGAACCCGAGACCCGTGAGGACTTCCTCCAGTGTAAGTCTCTATAATCATACATGTACATAAAGAGACAGATTTAGTTCTTATTACATTTCATCAATCAGACTTAACTGTGCTGAACTCTACACAACAGTCTTGATTTACATGAGGCACATTTATACCGCTAATATTCAAAGATTCAACATTAAAAAACACCTGTTAATTTAGTACAATTAACTAACTCAAATCAGGAATAATCACATAATAGCTAGTTTAACTTACTGGGTTAGTTGAATGTTCTGATCTGGTCACTTCTGTCAATCACTCCTTCTGTTAAATAGGTCCTGTTTTGGAAGACGTTACTTAAAACTGACCTTTGGCTCAACTGTACATTTTGTGATAGACCTGCTAAAAAGAAAGGGAAAATAAATAGAAAACGTGAATCAAATTTTCAATTAAAAAAACTGAATAATTTCTGCTGGTCAACTCCAAACACACACAGACACACCAACATGTTGATACTTTGATGATGATAACAGTGGGGCAGCTGTTGTGAACTAAATGTAATAAACCTCTGGTGTTTTATTTTTACATTTGAAAGTCATGTATTACTTGATAGATGCATATTGTGTGTTTTATCTTTATCAGATTCCCGTCAGCTCACTTTGGATCCAAATACAGTGAATAAAAACCTGTTACCAGCTGAAGAGAACAGAGTGATTAAATACACTCGTGAGGAACAGCCATATGCTGATCATCCAGACAGATTTGATGGTCTTCCTCAGGTGTTGTGTAGAGAGAGAGTGTGTGGACGCTGTTACTGGGAGGGGGAGTGGAGTGGTTGGGTGGGTATATCAGTGTCATATAAGAGCATCAGCAGGAAGGGATGGGGAAAGGAGTGTGAGTTTGGGTGTAATGATCAGTCCTGGAGTTTGTACTGCTCTGACTCAAGCTGCTCATTCTGGCACAATAACAAACAAACTAAGCTCCCTAGAGTCTCCAGCTCCTCTAGAATAGGAGTGTGTGTGGATCACGGTGCAGGAACTCTGTCCTTCTACAGCGTCTCTGACACAATGACCCTCATTCACAGAGTCCACACCACATTCACTCAGCCTCTCTATGCTGGATTTTGGGCTAACAAATTTTTCACAGGACTAATGTTTTTCTTTTCAAAAGTGACACTCTGTGATCTAACAATATAAATGGTACAGACTTTCTACAAATAAATATTTTGGGATTGTATTCCCTACATTAATTTTTTTTAAAATGACAAGAAAGGTTGCCAGATTGCATAGAATTTCTCTGTAGACCCTTGAAGAGAGTTTCTAGAGAGCATGATCTTTTTAATCAAATGAAGGAAAGTAGGGGGGAGGGGGGTCTTTCCATTTAAGCAGTATTAAAGGGGTCATATGATGCGATTTCAAGTTTTCCTTTCTCTTTGGAGTGTTACAAGCTGATTGTGCATAGATAAGATCCCTGAAGTTGCAAAGATTAAAGTCTCAAATCCAAAGAGATATTCTTTATCAAAGTTAAGACTCTGCCACGCCCCCCTAAAACGGCTAAATAATGTGTTTTTTGAACATTAAAGCATGTCAACATATTCTGTTACACCAAATACACAAAATAATGATCTTTTACAAAGCATCATATGACCCCTTTAATCTTCTGGCAAGTAGTGTGCAAAAGGCCAACATTTGACAATCATTGCTACTTATGCTAATGTTTTGTGCTGAAACACCAAATATAGCAATAAAAGGAGATGGGTCTATTGGCAAACCTATTATTTCTGAAAATACATCAAAAACATGTTTTGAATTTTGACATTTTTTCTTATGTTTACTCCAAATATTATCAATACAATATTAATTGATTTATTCACTGATTTTATTGATCACTTGCAATGATGATTATTATTTGTAATTTATGAAATTGTCTTTTAAATGGAAACAAATGCATTAAAATTCATTGTGATAAATAGCGTCACATCCATTTGTGTGTCATAATCTTATTCTCTTGGTTTCAGCAATTTCTGGATATCCCGACCCTTACATAAACAAATGACCTCTAATTATCATTATTAAAACAGATGGAGTGCAAATGGAATTAAAACTTAAATTAAAAATGATTTAACATTAGGCTACTTTTATTGAGTGAGAATGAGGATCTGCAAGGTCAGTCTCTTTCTTTAAGCACTGGCCTACATTATACAAACCCTAAGCGCTACAGAACCATAAACACTCAACTTATTTGTATATCTATATCCAGTGTTGGGAAGGTTACTTTGGAAATGTAATAGGTTACAGATTACAAGTTACCATGTTTAAAATGTAATAAGTAGTGTAACTATTTCTATTACTTTATTGAAGTAATATAACTAATTACTTTTCTAAATTTCTAACTAATGTTTTCAACTGTTAATCATTTTGAAACATTTAAAGCAGGCAGGGTTTAACCTTACAGTAGTAACACTGATTAATGTCAGACTTTCAAAATCCTTTACTTGAATTAAGATTATAGGCTAATTTAATTTTAAAGTGCTACCAACACCAAAACACTTTAGCACCTTTTTTTTTTAATTTTACTCTGAGTTCATTCTGAGGTTAGATAGCCTACATATTTAAAATCATAACGAGATATAGTTTACAGTTTTTGAAGTCAAATCCTTGCATAGCTATGACAGGAAACACTGACATCTATGCCTTGGAAAAAAACGTAATCTTAAAAAATAAAGCATATACCTAAAACCAAATAAGAGATAAAACAGTTATTATATAAACACGTGTCCTGCTCTGTGTCCTAAACTCCTGAAACATCGGTGTCTCATATTTTATAGCAGCCAATGCAATTTAGGAAAGAAATCAATCAAATCTGTATGCGAAAATATTCAGATGTAACCCCCCAGCAAACATTTGGACGTTTAATGACCGTTGAAAAGACGTCCCTCCGACACGTCCCGTCATGGTTGAAAATATATATCCAAAATGAAAATTGAACCGACGTCTTCTGTCCGTGAATTACACGTCTTTTCTGCACGCCTAAATGTGTCATCTTCTGGATGTTTATAAGATGTGTTGCTGCATAATTTAAGTATAAGCCTGCATATAAAATAATCACACACCCATTGTGCAACATCGTGAAAGGCACATCTGAATTTGACCAATGTTCTAAAAAGGTCCAAAATTGGTCCAGTCAGACCTGAACGTCTATAAAACGTTTTAATCACGTGTATCACAAACAATAATACATTTGTGGACTAAAGTAAAAAGAAGAGTGTTCTAATTTACCACATTTTATTGTGAATACTACATTTAAAAAAAAAAATTATTCCATTTGTTAAACAGCTACTATTCAAACAAGAAAATATAAATAGTAGAATGTGGTTAAGTCTGAGTCTATGGCAATGGCATTTTCTCTAACATTTTTACATTAATGCTAAGCAGCCATTAATCAAACAAGAAAATAACAGAAGTAAGGGAGCACAGTGAATACATACGTAACTATTTTTATAGTCTTTCAACTAAACAAAAAAATTCAAAATGTTTACTCATTTTCTTGGTTCACAAACACCAGCTCTTCCAGGAGTGAGATTCATGTGAGCTGTGGCAGTACTATTTTTTTATAACTATTTTTTTATAACAGTCTTGCATTATTGTTAAACAGCCATAAATCAAACAAGTAAACAACAAAAATACTGGATAAAGGTTAACACGTGTAAATGTTTTTAGAGTTTGTGAAAGTTGTTTATGGCCTTGAGTATTATAGTTTCCTCATGTCTATTTCTTCCTGTTACTCTGTACTTACAAACAATTCTTTGAATGCTATAAAACCATCTCCCTGTTCTTTCTTCTTCCCAATATTTCTGCCATCTATTCTTCACATGTTGCTTGATTAAACACTTCATTTCGGGAAAATGCGTCAACGCTCTCTCACGAGATAATCTATCCTATCGCGGGATTTTGCAAAAAATATATACATTTGGCAGCCGAGTTTTAGAAATTCACATAAAACTCAAGACTTGAAATGGTCAAGAGTATTAAATATATAATTAACCAATTTCAATGACTTTCTCTATTCTTCATAAACTCTATTAACCATTTAATTTTGAAAGTGTCATATTATAATCTAAGACCTCAAGTCCCCCTTGCTCTTTAGGATTACAAATTACTTCTTCTTCTTTTTTTTTTTTTAATAATGTGTTTTTTTTTCTCCAGATAAAGTTAAAAAGAATCTGATCTAGATCTCTAATAATCTTATGAGGCACACATTTGCCCAAGTACTCCTCGCTGCAGACTGTAGCGCGGTGACATCGTGCATTTCGACATCATGCACGCGCCGGTGTTGCGTAATATTCGGTTCCCGTGAAAAACTGTTCCAATGGGCGGGGTTAGTACGAATATTCATAGATTCGTTCCGCGGTGGGCGTGGCCTTTTGAACTACAAACAAGCGAATGGAAAGGATTGTGTTGTCTGTTCTTCAGAATAAATTTCAGTGACTGCAATTAAACTCAAATGTCGTTGCATGTTCAAATAAAGATTTTTTAATGTTATCTGGTGTTTTTTTTTTTTTTGTCAAGAGCCTTTTAACAATTCAAACACAAGAGCTGAAGAACAGACAACACAATCCTTTCCATTCGCTTGTTTGTAGTTCAAAAGGCCACGCCCACCGCGGAACGAATCTATGAATATTCGTACTAACCCCGCCCATTGGAACAGTTTTTCACGGGAACCGAATATTACACAACACCGGACGTAATGCTTGTCTTTAGAACGCATGCGCCGTACGTACCGTGATTTTAATACCGGATGTTTTTAATATTTACGTGTTCGGTAACAAAGAAGAATTCGGTGGCATCATTTGCTCTCGTTTCAGAATCAGGAAACGTTTCAGTTCCGAGAAATCGAAACTAAACTGCTGTCGAACTTTTGTGAATGTCTCTCTAAGATACCTGTGAGTGCGTGCAGTAAAATGGCAGAATCCAGTGTTTCTTTGGCTCAGGATGAGTTCAGTTGTTCAATCTGTCTGGATCTACTGAAGGATCCAGTGACCATTCCCTGTGGACACAGTTACTGTATGAGCTGTATTACAGGTTACTGGGATCAGGATGATCAGAAGAGAGTCTACAGCTGCCCTCAGTGCAGACAGACCTTCACTCCAAGACCTGGTTTAGGTAAAAACACCATGCTGGATGAAGTGGTGGAGAAAATAAAGCTACAAGCTGCTCGTCCTGCTCAGTGTTACTCTGGATCTGGAGATGTGGAGTGTGACATCTGTACTGGGGACAAAAACAAGGCCATCAAGTCCTGTCTGGTGTGTCTGGAATCTTATTGTCAAACCCATTTTGAACGTCATGAAGAATTTCACTCTGGAAAGCGACACAAATTAACTAATGCCACTGGACGACTACAGGAGATGATCTGCCCTCAACATGATAAACTGCTGGAGATTTTCTGTCGTACTGACCAGAGCTGTGTATGTTATATGTGTATGGTGGATGAACACAAAAACCACAACACTGTATCAGCTGCTGCAGAGAGGACTGAGAAACAGGTATGAACTCAGTTATGCTAAATAATAAATGACACTTCATAATCACTTAATAGGCACAAAATTGAAGATATATATTTTTTTAACAATTCTTACTAGGGACATATCATATAGTTTCTCCACTTATTTGCTCTTTTTTGAAACTGTTCTTTGTGACATTCTCTACAAGGATTAATGAATTGTATGTTGACTATACTATATAGAGACATCTGGAGGAGACCCAGAGAACAAACCAGCAGAGAATCCAGGAGAGACAGAAGGAGCTTGAGGAGCTGAGAGAGGCTGTAGAGTCCCACAAGGTGAGTTTTGAGCAGAAGAACAACTGCTGGCTGCTGAAGAGCTGTTTCAGACTCAGTTATGACTCTCCTCCAGTCAGTCAGTGAGGAGCCAGTGCTGGAGCTCTTTCAGTCCCACTGAAGCCCACTGTGGGGAACAGGCTGTGTGAGGCAGCAGTAAGAGCTGAGTGAATGGACTGATTCTGATGCTTCTCTCTCTGTGTGTCCTAACAGCGCTCTGCACAGACAGCAGTGGAGGACAGTGAGAGGATCTTTACTGAGCTGATCCGCTCCATTGAGAGAAGCCGCTCTGAGGTGACACAGCTGATCAGAGATCAGGAAAAGGCTGCAGTGAGTCGAGCTGAAGAACAACTGAAGCGAC